TGATCATTCTTACAAAAGAAAATTAGGTTTTATTTTTGTTTTGTTTCTTCTTATTTTACTTGATGACTAGCAAAACTTAAGTTTGGAAAAATTTGATGAGCTTAAATTCTATATAAGTTTACATAGTTTTTTAGTTTTGAATTAGAGTCTTTTATATTTTCTTAGAGTGATTTTATTTAGTTTTACATCATTTTTATCATTCTTTGTAGGTAGAGGGTTAAATTGAAAAAAATCAAGAGTAGATGGGCTGAAATGACAAAAACTGAAAAGATGAAGTTTGACTCCATAATTTTTCATATAAAGACCAAAACTTGAATTGATTTTTCCTCTTCTATACACGTGCTGTTTGCACAACATTGGACATGTGGGTTTTTTTCCTTTTATTGTGGAGAATGAGCTGCGCTTTCATAAGGGCACACAAATAGATGGCTGTGTAAAAAGGAAAGGGAGTCGGTGGAGTACGAGGAGAGACAGTCGGTAGAGCTTTGAAAAGGGGTTTGGAGGCAAACCAAAGTACAACATCTCTCTATGTCAGTGTCAATGGAAACTAAGGCAGGCACTAAGGAGGTTTTAACCAAGAACAAGATTGAAGAGCTGGGTTTTGCTCTCCTTAGTTTACTTTTCTATTGTTTAGATATAGAATTATGGTTCATCAATTTAATATCAGATTTTATCATAATTAGTATGAATTAATTTAATTATTTAAAGTTATGATGTGACATGATTAATTTGATATAAAATTTTATGATTTTTATATTTTTAAGATTTATTATTTCACGTAGAATACATATTATTATCTTTAATATTTTTTAATGATTGGTCATTTTTAAAATTGATTTGGAAAGCATAATTGAGACTTTAATGAGATTTTATGCAATAGTTTCTAGTAATATATACCATAAATTAAACAAAAATCAAAAATAAATTAACATGATTTGTGCAGCATTAATAACAAATAGATTTGATTTTTCACGTAAACTAAGAAATTTCATATGATATAATGCATCTTTATCTATTTAAATTCACATAAAAATATAGTAAGTTAATAGGTGAAGATATGTTTGATATAATTTAAGAAAGTATATTGAATAAAATAAGAAATTTTACTGTCACATAAATAATAAAGTCTTTCGAAGTATATTAATTTAAATTCTATATATTAGTTGATTATGAAGAAATCGAATATTTTAAAATTTTAACTCTTGGAATCCCTCAAAATCAATTTAGTTTTTTTTTAATTGTTTTAGTTAATTACTTCATTTAAATTATTTTATTTCAATTATTTAAATAAAATTAAAATTAATTAATTTTAATACTTAATTAATCTACCATCTCTGTGAGATGATATTCGATTTTTATTATTATATTATTTAAATTTATTAGTACTCTTGTTAAAATAAATTTAACTCAATATTGATTGACTTCTAAAAAGTCGTTTACTTCGTGCTGTATGGTCTATAAAAATTAGTTTAATATACATCTAGACTAGATTTAGAGACCTGTTGGGTATAGTCTTCGAAAATTAATTTTGCAAATAATTTTGATGAAGGAAATCTTTGAGAACAAGCAGTTTATCTGGTTTTAAAAAAATTAGACTGACGCACCGTCTGGTATAGCAATTTTAAGATAGCAATTTTAAGATAGCGGTTAATAGTTTTATCTGAATTATTAAATATAAGTGTTTGTTAAATTTATATATTTTGAAACCGTTATAAATAAAGTGTTTTATAAAATTTTTATTTAACAATTTAAGACTAGTAAATAGCGGTTAGAGTTTAAACCGTTAGTGGATTAAAAAAGTTAATTTATGTAACTTTTTGTACCAAACTGTTAGCGAATTAAAATTTTTAAATTTTATTGACAAATTTATCCATTTTAATTTTTTAATTTGTG